ACGCTCGACCTCGACACGTGATATCGAAATGAGTGAAATCGCCTCTTGATATCACTAACTATCTTGAAAAAAAAACTTCAATACTGAGTTTTCTACAGAGAAATATGCAGTAATGGTTGGTCTACCTAACTGCACCAAGAATCAGCTAAGGACTTCCCACCTTGTATGTCCATCATCACATCATACTAAAACTTCTCTCTTGTCACCTTTCCATCAACTCACTGAATCTTCAGCTTGGGTGCATGTAGGACAATACTTGGGAGCTTTGGCTCTATGTCCTTCTCGAGGATCTTCCGATATCCATCCAACAGCTCATCTGGACTGTCAAAGGCAAACTGTGGGTCTGTGCGGATGCTCTCCATGAACTCCCTAATCTCTTCTTTCCTCCCAAGGGAGCTGATGATCTGTGAATCCCATTGAATAACCAGAAGATTTTTATTACACCATGTACATGAGTTCCAATGTTCTATATTGCATTTTTCAGATAGCAAACATAATACCTGGTCTTGAATTAGAATGCCAAGTTATCACATAAGTATGTATGAAATGAGTATAGAATGGACATTCTGACCTTTTTCATCTGCTTCTCAATGGATTCCACTTCTGAAAGACCAATTTTGTGGATCTCCTCAGGAGAGAGATCTGTGGATGTGTGATAACGGAGGCACTGCTGATAATATTCTTTCCCATTGGGAAGTGTGGTACAGCCAACGTGTGGCCTGCAATTGGGCTCGTACTTCTCCTTCAGGAACCTCTGGAGCTTCTCAAGAGCTGGTTGTATCTGATCCTTGATCAACTCTTTGGCTTGGGTTTTGAGAGCCACCTGCTGCTCGTCCGAGATCGCCTTGGGGAAGTTGAGGAATGGTTTGAAGAAAGGTGTATTCTCTGGGTCTCCCTGCAACTTCTCAAACTGGTTCTCCACTCCTGTCTATCAATAGCAGAAGGATAGTTTCTTTGTTACAAGGATTGCTTAAAGTTGGATTAATGCATAGCTGATTTTCCAACTCAATAACTGCAAAAGTTTGTGCAACTTCAAATGTTTTGTTTGCAAGAAATTAGGCAGTAGGGCTTATAGCAAGTGCATGCAAAAAAAAAAGCTCAATCATTTGGCAAATTTTGAAATGAAGGAAAGGAAAAATGCCATACTAGTGACAGCTTGTGCAAAGTGAGATTGCTCCTAATGCCCTCGTCCAAAATGAGCTCAACTTCTTGGAGCTGTTGAGGGATCTGCCTGAACCTGGATAGGAGCATTGTGTAGTCTGCTTCATCCTCATACTTGGTCCATTCGTTGATCATTCGATCAAGGTCCACTTGAGGACCCTCAATGAAGTTGACTGGGTAGAGGTAGCTGCAGAAATATTATGATATACCATGTCATGAACTCTGATTCTGTAAATTTTGACTTAAGGAAGACAGGGAACATTTAAATGCAGGGATTTAAGCATGGGCATTCTCAGAAATATTCAAACTGCATTCCTAGTTCACACTCAAACTCACAAAACATCTAACTGACCTTAATTTGGATTATTTCTAAAGAAATGAATATGAAAGAATTTACTCAAAAATTGCTAAGTTTGGCAAAGCAGCAATAAAAAAAAAGAGAAAAATCAGTCAGGGAATCCAGTTCCCTTGATGCTAGCAATGAATTGTGTTGAGAAAACAAAATTTAAAATTAGCGACCTATCAGAAGTGGACAGGGAGGAGCATTAACATTTTCCCTCAACTTGTCAAAGATAATTGAAAGCATATGATAAGAATTTGAGCAGATAAAAGGAATCAAAAGTTGCAGTGATAAAACATGAAAGGGATTCTTTCATATGCTACTAAAACAGGCAAGTTATATGTCATGTCAAAAGAATCAGTATATAACCAAAATTATAATGGAAAAAATCTACCTTAACTGTTATCTGTCATGTTTATCTTGCTTACAGTGCTGTTCTGTGCTTTCTTCCAAGGAATGGCTGGAAGTAAGCTTTAGACATTTGAGACATACCCCTTGAATTTGAAGCCCTCAATGAAGAGCCGGAGGTCCTCCTCAAAGCATTCAAGATTGTCCTTGTCCATCTTAGTAAGGTCCTCTCCACTCTGAAGTTCATGGATTCGTTCCTTGAACTTTTCAACTGCATTCAGTCTTCCATTCAATGAGTCAAAGCTCCAGCTATCTAGTTTTCCATTCCTTTCTTTGTGCCCAATCTGCATGACACAAATTATATGAATCCTCAACCTATCTCTAACCCAGAAATGTGTAGAAAAACAATATTCACCAAGGTGGAGAACTCGGGAGCTTCATCAAGCCGCCATGTCCAGAAGTCCTCCAACAGCTCCTTCACTTTGCTTGACATTTTCCCTTCTAGTCCAACAAAGAAAATCTCCTGGTCCTGTCCTACAGGCCTTGTGATGCAAGATGAGAGCAAATGCAAGAAGCTCTACACGAGGGAAAAATGAAGGAAATATGTGACATGTTCAAGTGGAACGATATCTTTGAACAAGCTGATATGAGGAAACTATGCAAGAGGTGCTTATGTGGCCACCTTCACTTCACATGAAGGGTAAGGCTGATTCTTTCTCACATGGGCCCACCATTGTTCCCACTTGAATGCAAGAATGTGACTCTAAAAGTGAGACAAACTGATGAAGGAGTGGAAACAGGGTAATACTGCATTAATAACTCAGTCCAAATTTCAAGATTTTAAACATCTTCATGATTCTAGGCTCCAAACAAATTACCCACAAAAAGGGTAAACTAGAGATTCACTTTTACTGGCAATCAAAGGACTATCACAAAGAGAAAAAAAATTATTTGAGTCATGATGTCCCTATTCAGCCATAGTGGTTGTCTGATGGGATGCACAGAATAAAGCAAGCCTTTCTAGCCACTGGCTCCAGTATTCCAGGCATTTTGACTTTGTAAGGAGATGAACATGGGCTGGATCACCTGATGAATAAGCCACCACAATCAGACCATGGGAGATCTGAAAGAAATTAATTGACACAACAATCAACATTTAGAAAGGTTTACATCATTTCTTGAATATAAAGTCATCATCCCCTGTACTTGAAAAAGGTCTTACCTGATTCTCAGGGGGACATATAGAATTCCAAGCTCCCATGTAGGCCGCTACTTGCAGAGGAGCATCATACAGGTGACTTAAATGTGGCTTGGACCGTTGAGCTGTCTTCCAGTCAATGACAGCCACTGCACTCCTAATTAATGATTTCAAAAGGGCAAGTCCACAACATCTCTCATACTGGTAAATCTCATGAGTTACTTTTATGCGTTATACCATAAAAATTAATGAAGGACTGCTGCCTCAAAAAGAAGGCAAAAATAAAAATTTCTCACCTATATTTGGCCACACAATCAACAATGCCCTTGTAAGGTAACACCGAGTGGGTGAGACGCTTCTCCAGACATTTCACTTCTGACACCCTATCCAATGTCTTTCCCAAACTCCTCCAGTACCCCGCAATGGAGGCATCAATGGAAAGTTCTCCTTCAAGCTTGCCCTCAAGACGTTCCCTTACGACGGCATGGAGACGCTTCCCATTCTCAAGCAGCTCTGCAATGATAAAGCCTTGATATAAAAAAGGATCACAGGGAACTCATGAAAAGACATTTAAAAGATTATTCACCAGTTTCATATGATCTGAATCCCTCTTCCCCAAGCTGGGCAATCATTTTGGCTCTCCACTTCTCAAGGGCCAGGCGACTTTCTTCAGGCATAGTTTCTGACAAGATTGATGTAACACTTGGCATGAATCCAATGTTGATCTGACTCTGCGGTGATGGTACTTGAGGATGAAATAGCTGGTACTTCTGCAAGTCCAAGCCCAGTTTCATGACTGAATTTTTTACTGGTTTTACTAATTCTGACTGAAACTTTCCCTCTGATGATATGTTAGAAGTGGAATCCAGAACAAGTGGAAGAGACCTTTTGCTTTCATCAACAGTGGGGACTGTTCTCTTTGCTTCAGATTGGTCTGATTTGGAGACTTTCAGGACACTGTAGGAGAAAGAAGACACTACTTCTCTGTTTTGTTTAGAGTCTGCTTTCACTTGTGGTTTTCTTCTTTCTGTCTTCACTTTGAGTACTTTTCTGCGTTCGTTCCGTGTTTCCAGGAGATCCCCAAAGAGATTTTTGTTTTCCCAGTTGAGCTTCTTAATAGTTTTTGCTAAGTCTGAGAGTGTCTTTTTTGCACTCATGACAATTTCCTTTGAGTGAAAGCCTTCTCTGGAACAAAATTGGAGGACTCCAATGCAAGCCAATTGCAGAATTATATAAATCTAGGTACATGTATGAAAAAAGACAAATTAATTCGGCAGTCACTTGAAACAATTAGAAATTATGACGAATAAGTCATTTGCACAATAAAAAAATGTGGCTGACTCACATAGTGCATTGTCTGCTAATAGCAGAAATCAGAGAACCTTACCTCCTGTCTTCTCTAAACCTTTCATTATAAAAATGTCAATGGTACCAGTACATACATACCAACCACACACTGCATTTCACATTTTGATTTTACCAAAATTTTGAGAAAAAAATGTCTGTGCTAAGGAGAGAATCGTAACTAAGGAAAAATTGATCCAAGATTTCATTAAAATATAGAGTGAAAAAGCAATAATAAAAAAAAAGTAAATATGATGGAAGAAGTTTAAAAAGTTGCAATAAAAAATCCTGCCAAATGGAAAATGAAAAATTTATTAGAAATTTTTTTTTAAGTATCAAGGAAAAGGGATGCAACTGTTTCCAGTTCAGGTGAAATTCAGCTAAGGGAGGGAGGATATAATTAAGAACAGCCAAAACCCTTCCAAGAGGGTGGTTTTATCTCTTCTACATTTCTGAAGCTGAAACATATGAATAGGGTCAGAAAAAAGCAATAGGTTGACAATGGAATTACATTTCTGTCAGTATAAGTGTACAAAAGGCATCAATGGCCTACCTCCTTGCCCAAGGCATCTTATGTATCATAAGCTTAATTGCCAGGGGAGTCAAAGAGCTCTCTTCCAAGAATACAAAATGACTATAACAGATTGACAATGGCCACAAACTAGTGATATCTCTATTGCAAATTCCTGCTGAACATCATACCATTTCACAGTTTATTTAAATTCTTACAATATGATGCACATTAGATTATTGCATGATGCCCATAGCTCACAAATTACGTAATGCAAGGGGAGGAGGGGGGATCAAAGTGTTACAAATTGTTATGGGGGGGGGGGGTTGCACAAATGTCACATAACATGTTTTTTTCATAAGAAAAAGTAAATTATGCAACTGGAATTTCTTATTAGAAGGTTAATTGTTTAGTAACAAGTCACTCACACAACACAAAAGTCAACCTTACTGCCCATCTGCACTACCCTTCCTAACAGTGGAGTGGGCATTGAGAGCATGGGAACATTTGTTGACTTCCCTCTCCCATTGCAAAATTTGCTAAGTTGTAGTTTCATGCCTGGGCCTGCACAGACAGGGCAAACAGGCTCAGTTACCCTTTGGATGTTGCCCTCATTCATCTCTCTCTCTGTATAGTGATCTCTATTTCCACCATTCTACCATACATTTCCCCATCTCCTTTTACTCCTTTTTTAAATCTCATATGGGTGATCACCATCAATCAAAATGAACATAGACAGAGGAAAATTATTTCCTTGAAGAAGAAACTGAATGAAAGAAAAAACTTTCCTTTTTTAAAACATTTAAATCATCTCTCAATGTGTATAATCCAGAGTGTTAGTTGTGAGTGCAAACTAATATCTTTTTAAAAAGTATTTTACTAGCTTATTTATCTCATTCTAAAAAAAATTATTAAGGAGGGGGGAGCATATTTTGTCACAAAATTTTTTGGGGGGGTTGAAGTTTTTGTTATGGAGTGTTACAGGAGGGAGGGAGGGGTAAAAAAGTTCAAAAATCATGTTACATAATTTGTGAACTGCCCCATAGCAGTGATCCAAATCAACAAACAATGCTGGCAATTCAGGAAAATTTATTCATTCTCCATCATCCCAAACTGGTTAAAGTTGGGTGCATACCTCCTAGGGATATTGTGTTGATCCTTAATTAGGCTAGGTTAGGTTATGTTGGGGGGGGAGGGGGATGACGCTTATTATGCATAAAAGGAATCCTAATCGATGTAGCATGTTTTATGTTGAATTAATGTGGAAACATTGGAGACTGTGGGAGTGCAATTTCGTTAGGGGGTATCCACTTAACTGTTTCAGCTGACACTTCCCTTGCATTCTTCTGAATGCCTCTAATCCATTCTTCTCCTCATGAACCCTCAGAAATATGGGTGGTTCAACCCACTTCAAAGGGCAACTCAGCAGCTCGATGTCTTTCAGAGGTATTTGGATCTAGGCCTAATACCTTTTCATCTGGATCCCCCAAGAGGCCATACTTGGGCAATCTCAGGTTAGTTTTTAACTCCTCCTACCTCCCCAAGCAGATTTTCGCCATCAATGACTCTCAAGCCACTGCATGCGCCAGGTTTTTTGATCGTGATCAGATTTCTCGCTGCTCGAGTTGTGTTCAAAAATGGGGCCGAAGCACGAATACTCACAAGGTTTGAGGTTAAACTTCAGAATCGGTTTGTCAGTCGTAGAACGCAATATGGGTTACAGGTCTCTTGCGATCGGAAATTCCGCCAGGTAACTCTCTTGCCCGCGTCTGAGGGTTTCACTGCCCGGTGCCAGCAGAGCACGTGGGACCAGCATCGAGCAGACATATCACAACTTGACGGCAACACCATCTGTTGGAAATATAAGGCGTCATGGAGTGCGATGTTCCATTCCTAGATGTCACCATCGCAGCAGAGGAACCCTGTTAGGGTTGAGTAAGTGGAACTTGCAGATAGTGGAGATGATAACGTGAATGAAATTAGTGCTGAATTAAGGCTAATTTGTGTCAGAATTAAACACATAATTTTGGAATTAAGACCGATTAGTTCGAGAAAAAACCAGCGTCGAACTGTTTTGGCAGAATTGATCAGTATCCCGTCTAACATGGTGAGATTTCAACCAAGGAAGATTATGGTGTTATTCATCTTGCAATCTCCTTTTGTTCTTTTTCTTTCTCTCTTTTTTTTTCCAAAGGGTACCGTAGAGAGGAAAAATCTCACTTTCGTTATACTTAAACTCAGTAGTACTACGTATATGTAGTAAAAATTGTAGCGGAATTCAACCCTTCACCTTCCAATCCACACGCCTCACACCCCAAGGCTCACAACTTACGCAGTAACGGCAAAATCGATTAATCCCCTTCCTCCCGCAAGATCTTCCAGCTCGTTGAGTCTTCGCATGCAACGACCCAGCACTGTCGGAGATCTGTAAGCGTTGGCGATCTTGTTTCAACCAAGCACCGATTCCGACAAGGTGAGCCGATGGACTCATTTCGATGGAGCTTCCTGACCTAGAACAAAAAGTACTTAAAATTACGTCAAAATCGATACTCTGCAGATTCGTCCACGTAAATTTCAAATGGGATTCTGACGAACGACTTCCCTATGGTCTTGACTCAAGGAGTCAGCGTGCCTTTTCGACTAAAAAGCACTCATCTCACGCACACAGACAGACAGAACAAAAATCAATTTCTCAGGGAGGAAAATAAAACACACCCAACAGCGAATTTCCACTTAATTTTCACAATAATGTCGTTCAACCTAATGAAAAATAATCGAAAGAACAGCAACCTTCATGGAATGAAATGACAAAACGCGAGCCCCCACCAGAACCGACGACAGCCAGCTCGCTTGTGTTCCGGCCCCAGTCCCAACCGCAGAAGGAAACGGTAGACCACCCAACGACCGACATCCCAAGGCCGAACCCGATCAAAACAAAGGAGAGAGCAGATGCAAACGGGATGGCATCCCCCGGCAGTGTCCTCTCCGTGTCGAAGGTCAGAAGGAATCGCGAATTTCCCGGAAGCTCCGGAAGATGTCACAAGTGAGAAAACCACTGGAGTGTTTTCTGGAAGTGCTTAGATCTCCCTTAGGGGAGGTTTCACGCTTATGGAAACGCCATAAACGAGATCCTATCTCTTTCTCTTTTTTTTTTCTCTCTGGTTTCCGAAACAGCCAAATTTTATTTTTTTTTTCTGTCTATTCCTCGAGGAGTTCCAGAATTACGCTGTTGCGATCAAATTTTGCGCTGGCTCCCGAAGGCCCAGGCCAGCCATTTCCAAAAATTTTAAAAATAATTTCTCGAGATCTCAAGGGTATCAGACAAACAGACTAATCTGGAGTTGAAAATACAAGGTCAATTCCGATAATTGGAGTTGCCCCGCTACCGAAGGAAAACCCTGCCAGATTCATTGAGGAAATGTATTTCTATTTAAAGTAGTCTTCGATAATTATAGCTTGTTCCAAAACGATGTTACGTACATGGACTATTTATAAACACGAATACTCATGACTTCGTCAAAAGTGAGTGGACCAAGAGAAAACTAATGAAACGGCTTTGGACCAAGGAATCCAGCATACCCAGGGATCAACGTGAAACTCCAGATGAGACAAATTGCAACAGAGACTTCGATTCGCCGGGCATCTTCGCTCGTTCTTCGCAAGCACGAAATTGCGCCTTTGAGGAGACCCCGGTGAAGAGTGAGTCCGATTTTCCTTCCGATCCTGTTTTCTCTCTTTAATCCTGGCGACATTGACTGCAGAAAGTGGGAAAGGCGAAAAGAAAAAAAAATCCACATGAGGGCAAAGGAAGAACGCGGTTTGGGAAACGCTTCGAGTCGAATACGCCCACGGCGTCAAGGCCAGCCAGACTGTCGAGACCGGCCAGCTCCGTCACCACCAGGGTTCGTGATTCGCACTTCTTTTGAGGCATTCTTGCCTTCTGTGCTTCAACTCAAGTTTCGGGATCTCGTTCCTTCATGGCCAGCATCGTTGTTTCTCCTTGTGCAAGGTCGATGTTTCCAGAATTGCTGCTTCAAATTTCGCTGAGTTTCAACAAAAAAAACCTTCTGAGTAAATTTGGCATTTGCTTAGCCACAACGCTCCCACCAAAAACGAGTTTCACGCAGTTTTCAATATTTTCATATTTCCGCTCCTACTGCCAGTGCAGCCCTAGGCAAAAATATTCGATACATTCTTTAAAGGAAAACTTATATAATGTCGTATATAATTCTATTGTTCCTCTCTACAGAATTCCATTAAATCACTGTATGGAAATTCTATGGAGATTATAGAAATCCTATCAAGAATCTTAACAAATTTCTAGAGAATTCTACGAAGACATTGTAAAGAAATTCTACAGAATTTCTATAGAGCTGTATGAATTTCTTTTTTGTGTCACTGTCTAGAAAATGTACAGAATTTATATATTAATAGAATTTCATGAACTTCTGTAGTCAGCGTATAGAAAATCTATCGAAATCCCATCAAATTTCTTTGAAAATAAGTAGATGCAAATAGGTTTCCCAAAGGAAAATATAAAAAATTAAAGGTAGCTTTTCTTTCTTCGACATCAGCTCGTACAGAGGTCATCTATAATTTTACAGAACGTGAAGAGCCTTTTAGAAGGCTCATATCCGATTAATTTATGAACTCGTGAAAGCATCGGTATATAGTGGTGTAGGGATATGACACAGGTCCTAATCACGAACTGTTGGAAATCCTCATGGGGATCATGCATCGGAGAGTCGTTCCATTCCTAGTGGTGCAATTTTAAAGAGCTGCGCCGTCTGTGATGAGGCTGTAAAATAAAAATGAACTTTGGAATACAAGAAATTGGGCGAACCAAAACGTCTCTATCTGGCCTCCCATCCGGAAGCCAGAATCTCAAGCCCTCCCCCGGCTCATAGGCAATAGGCGATGAGGCACATCACACAGTGCACGCAATACAGAAGTACTGTCTACGATAGCAGGGAGGCCGACCTCACCGGTTGCATCGCGCACTAAGGGGTGACTGCTGACAAGTACACCGTCTTGTCTTTTAGGTTCCTCTGCTTTAAGGAATGTCTTTAGGTTCCTTTGCCGAAATCAGAAAGTTTCTTGGTCATCCTAATCCGCATTGCCAATGTGTATCTCTGGAGTTTCAACGAATGAAAAGGGCAGAAGATAGAGTCTTCGCGATCATTATAGATGAGCTAGATGTGTTTATTTGTAGAAGTTCCGAAACTCGCAAGGGGTGTCAGTCGTGGTACCGATAATTTTCTTTTCGGACCGGATCAATCCGTATAGAGTCCTATCCAGATGCAACGAGTGGTTTATTGAATGTATAGAACTAAATTGAAAACTCTATAGAAGTCTATAGATCTCTGCGACATTTTCCCCGGGGGGTTGACCTCGTAATAGTAATTTAGGTGAGGACAACCTTCACTGTTTTTTTTTTTCCCGCAGTCGGAAGGATTGAAAATGGTTCTACGAGTAGAACAAATACGTAGAAAAAAAAAGCATGAAGGTGGCAAAATGATCTCAAGGATTTTTTTTCACTAGAGAATAGGAAGTCAGCGGCAATCACTGAATGTAAATTAATTCCCGAGCACGAGCAACATTTTATTAATTTCAACAACAGTTAATTATTTTTCTTGCTGTCTTAAAAAAAAATTATATTGTACAAAGCGCATGCAACAACCAAACATTCGGCTGCGTGGAATCCAGGTCCTGAGATTAAATTTATCCATCTGGAATAAAACGAAGATGCAAAAGCAATGAGACATTTCACCCCGTAAACGCGTCGTTTCTCGTGATGAATTCGTCGGATCCTTGTTCTCGGCATGTGCACAGTGCACTTTTTTTTCAAATTCAGTTTCTGCGAAATTCTGAAGGGACGATTTTCGTCCTGTTGCTTGGAAACCGATCTCCAAGGAATACGAGGCTCTCCGATTCGTTGAACCGGTGAAACACGTCGAGGGAATCACGCTGTTCCAACCAGGAACAGCGTAACAGATCTGTGCAGTTCTAACATATTTCGTGCAATTCTGAATTGTAAACTGTGCAGTCAAAACTGGGCAAGAATTACATTTTGTGACAGTACGTTGACTTAAAAATGGCACTAATTTTCGCGCTCGGCGCCGTATCAACCACTTCCACAGAGGGGTTATAATAATTTGTGCAGTTCTGTTTTTCCTTACAATATGCCTTGAACTGAGTAATCGTAAAAACCGTAGAACAAAAGCGCCGTCATTGAAAGGTGAAACTCGTTTAAATGCAGGAGATGGGCGATTGAGCTCCTATCTCTTCGGAGAGCGCGGCGATAAAAATTTCTCGGGAAAGTGTCGCATGGCGTGGGGAACGGATTTCCCTTTTTTCTTTTCAAGGACCCCAAGACCCCGAACACCCACGGCTTCCCCTCATCTCGTCTCCGACGTTTCTGGGAATTCTCAATGTTCACGGATGTCACGCTAGACGTGCAGAAGGCAAACAGGATCGAGTTGTGGGCTCTTTTGTGTCTTATCGGAACGTCTCCTTTTTTCTTCCTCTTTTCGACGATTTATTAACTTTTTAATTATTTAATTCCATTATTATTTATTATTATTATTATTATTATTAATTTTTTTTGGGGCGGGGGGGGGGGTGGGAAAGTGCGGGATGGAGGTACGATATCACGAGTAGAATAAAGAGACAGAGATAAACTCGGTGGCTGCAGGTTTTCTTGACAATGAAATATGCCAATCATCAGGTGGGTGGAGAGGCGTGAGCAGACGCATAGAGCCAGTCCAAGAAATCATGCCAGAAAATAATTGAGAGGAAGAAGGTTTTTTTTTTATTCTTAAACCGATTCTGGAAAAAATCGTCGCTCGGCTCGAAATCAGCAAAAATTTACCTCAACTTATCACGTACTGATAATTCGCGATCTACTTAGTTGGCAAGTAAGAAACTAGGATTACGAAGCTTTGTTGCATATCTGCCCTTCAATCCCGAATGAATCTCAAGCCCAGTCATCTTTCCCTTTCCTGGGAAAGAAGATTACCGTCACGGTGTGCTAGTCACGAATTCCCCGGATGACAAGATCCGGGGAATCCCGGAAGACAAGGCAGGATATTTACATTTTACTTTACAGCAGGGCTTTGAGAGAAAACAAATTTACAAAGGAACATAATTCTCTGACGGCAGTGAAACGAAAAACCGGAACGGGACGAAGTTGCTCATTCCGAAAAATGAAGTAATTTTGTTCCATTCCCGGTCCAAAGAATTTGGCCGCTTCTTAAGACTTGTTGCCCCATTTTTCTCGCAATTAATCAGGGCCATGAAATGAAACAACAACTGGAATTGAAAAAAATCCATTCCGAAGCCCTGACTTACAGCAATAGCCCCCAAGAGATATGATTCGTGATTACACAAACGGAATGCATCCAGGGACACACGACTCATTTGAATATCCAATCATGCATTTCATTTTTCATTCACTGCCTTAGACAGGGTATGAAGCCAAGCCTTGCCCGCATTCAGGAGATTCGTCTTCAAGGAGCTTAAGTCCAGGAGAAAAACTCCGGCAGGAACTTTTTCTTCCAGAGATTCCACTTCCTCCTGCAGGCTCTCGTACCTGCAAGAAAGCACGGACCCAAGAGTTCAGCCGCTGGGGGAAAAAAAACTACACCCAGTGAGCGACGTAAACGGAAAAGGCCAACAAAACAGAAGTATTCCTGCCAACCGGGATTGACACGAACAAGGTGAATGAAAAAAAAATTCGGAACGACAGAGCAACGAGGTCACTCAACCGGTCGCTTTAATGAAAGGAAAAATCGAAATTTCGGAGGCACAGAGCCTTCTTCTTCATGGAATAAGTTCTCTCGTCCTCGAAGCCCGGAAACAAATTCCTACCTAAAGCCAATAATCGATCATAAGAAGGTAACGAAGTAGTGGAATAACATTTCAAAGGAAAAACATGAGATAGGATGATAATAATGAGGAAGCCTCAGCGATTCGTGCCTGTGGAGGTCGTTCTTCCAAGCGGACGAAGAGGGAGTGAGGTGTTTGTACTCCTGGAGGAAAATCCCTGGCTCCATCCCCCATAGAGGGTGGAATCGATCCCGAATGCTCCTGACTCGGGTCTCGCTCTCCTCGCATCCCTCTTCCAGTACTATCAACGTCACATTAATTCATATTTCGTTCCGCCGAGGGAATTACTTCCAAGACGATAAGCAAAAGGAAACCTCGATTTATGTCCCGCTGGATTTGGACGATCTCCGGGTCCCTGAGGATGAGGGCTTTCAGTCCGGGGCCATTCCCGACGAGAGGCAGAGCGGAGAGGGGATCGAAGACGGCGAGGAATGCCCTCAGGGCATCCCCAATAACATCAACCACTTCCCTCAGCCAGGAATCCAGACGGACCTCATGAGAAAATAAAAACTTAAATGCGAAACCTATTATTCAAAATGGCTTGGGACAACAAAAATTAGCTTAATCAGAATTGTAAAACGATTAATTAATTGATTGAAGATTAATTGTCATTGCTACATTCCATGCCTCGTGTTGCTGGCATTGAAATGTGAGGATGCATGAGGCATGGAAAAACTGAGAATGAGAATCGATTGGAAGGGATGACCTTATCGAGAAGAGATGAGCACAACTTGAGATAAACCCAGTGCTCCTCTGTAGGTCTTTCCTAGTTTCCTTCATCAGATTTAGAGAGGTAATGGAGATTGAATAGAACTCGATTAGATCGAGCACTCATCTGATTAAACAGCTTTGAATTAATGAGATATCAACATGTTTGATAAATAAATAACCATGATGAGAGTGGGGAAACAGGATATGAAAAACAAATAAATCAGGCATACTACACAATAATGAAAAGAGCTTCGAGTAGCGGACGGAATGATAAAAAAAAACAAACTTGTTTGGAATCCGAGGATAGCGAAAGGCTGATGAGAATGGGGGAAGAAGGCTGGCGAAGAGATTCAAGGAGTGTCCCGAGAGAGTTCTTCAGACACAGCCCGACCCCCTGGCCGAGGATTCTCTTCGCCTGCTCCCCGTATCGTCCCCATTCCTTCTTCACTCCCTCTCCCTCATCCTGCCCCGAAGAAAAACCGAAACAGACCGAGGATGAAGAACAGCGGTGATCTTCCTATGGGAGTTTAGAATGCGGCTATGGGAAAGGAAGTGGTGTGGAGGTTAAGGCGGAGATTTTGGAGATTCGTCTCAATCCATTTCAGTGCACAGTTTCAGTTCACAGACTTTGCAGAAAGTAGATTACATTCAGATTCACTCTAACGACAGCCATTTCAAGGCATACTCTTCGAGTAATACGTTGGACGGCGGAATCGGTGCCACGTGTCGATAGGATGAGACTGAGTGCAGTGGCGGATACAGGGGGGGGGGGGGGGGACCCTCCTATGGCCAGGTTAGCATTTGATTTATTTATTCAAAGTAGCATCAGCATTAAATTTTATTGGAGCCAGTAAAATAGATATTCTAGTTCTTACCCCTGACGAAAAATAAAAAAGGCAAAAGGACGAGGAATGGTGATAGGCGGGGAGGTTAGGTAGGTAGGAACTTTGGAACCGCCCCCCCTATTAAAAATTTTTGTATCCGACCTGAGTGGCGGCCTTATTCTTAAAATGCAATTTCTCCCTTTGAAAATTGCCATTTGTAGTTCAGGAAAGTCGTCCATATTCATTGGCTAAGTACAAATTCAAAGCAGACCGTGTCTTTGAGGACCAGTTGCTGGACGCCATCGATACAGGACCTCAGTTTCTCTACCAAGACCGTTGCCTCCATCTCTCCCTTCTTTCTACAAAGAAAGTACCTCATGATTTCCCTCTTCTCTCAATGATGTGACTCCTTAAGATGAGAACGACAGACATAGACTCGCGAAACCCCGTTTCCCACGCGGGCCAATCCAGGCTCTGCGAGTCGGTCCCAGGTGCCTCGTACAATGAGATCCCCGACAACCCCATGACGAGGCCGCCCAGCGCCCTCTGCAACCCCTCGTACTTCGACACCACCCCCTCGAACTACACCCAAAAAATCAGCAATAAAAATATAATCGAGGGCCCTTGACCCCAAAGACGACGATCGGCCCCACCACTGCGATGGCAGCCAGCGCCTGCACCGGGAACTCCGTGAGGGAATCCACGTCCGCCCACTGGTGCTTGGTGATCCCGGGGGAAAGGACTCGGTCCACTCGGGACAGATGAATCTTCAACAGCTGTCTCTCGTTTTCTGACAGGGCTGCTCGCGTCATCCATGCCCGCAATAATGAAGACAATAAATAATACAATATTAAGGCGAAAATGACAGCACTCCTCGAGAAAACCTTCCAGTAGGAATCGACTGATGCAATGTGCATCAAAAATTTGAAAGAATCGATGCTGCCGACAACTCGTTAATAACAGGCATAGCACCGCCTCGCACCTGAAAGAGCCTTGTTATAACGGTGCAGAACATCGAGAAGTAGCTGGCGAAGAAAATAGAGTTCCACTCTCTTCCTGTGCACTTCCACCGCCTGCCTGGGGATCTGGAATTTCTCCTCCTCCCACAGCCCTGCCTCCTCCCACAGCTCCTCGATCCTCCTGCGGACGAGCCAGACGGGGCCGAACGAGGTTGGTTGGACTGATGCCTGACTAAAGTCTACGAAAGCCTCCTAATTAATTAATTAAAGGTTTACTTTGAATTATTGTCAGCATTTTTGTATTAGTGTTAGGATTTATCACTCAGCAAACCATTCCCAGAAGAAAAATTCAAAATCTTTATTTTTTTTTGCTTTTCACTTCAGTGCGCCTGCCTCTGGTTGCACGTAAACAGCTCAACATTTGCGACCTCAGGCGCATTATTCGTGATCATGGGACCTTAACTTGTTTTCCACATACGCAGAACATACGGAATGTGAATCAATACTGGTCGAAATAGATTCATATCGCGTACTTCTGGTACCCAATTTCATTCAGAGAACAGGCTGAAGCGAGAAGGCTTTCCTGAAAATTTAGAATTAAAATTCGATCCAAACATGACGTTACCGTGACAACCGGGTCCCACAGCGGTCGAGGGGAAAAAAAGTCAAATTATCCAACCGAGGAAAACAAAAGGATCCAACTCCAAATTGACCTTGGATGAGACGCTGAAAATAGATGCAATCAGCGTCTTTCAGCCCCGGCGAGTCGCCTGGGACTTCGACAATTGCGGGACGGATTGGAGCAGCCAATTTGGGACTCATTACGTGATGCCAATTGACGTTTATTTTCATTAGGGCTGTATGGTTTGGGTATTTTCGTGCTCGAGATCCGTGATTGATTCAACAATAGATTTTTCAAATGCAGACAAATTTTTTAAAACATCCGAGGGTAGCTTAGAAAAAAATGCAAAATAATTTTTTCGACGAAATGTATGCATGCTAGGGTCGATTTTACGACTTTCAGCGTAAATTATGAACTTTCCCGCCAAAACTTCGCAAGTTTGAGAAATATCCGCCGTGGGGGGGAGGGGAAACAGCAGCAGTAGACTCGTGCAAAACTGCTGTCACATTGCAGGCACGTGAGAAGCAGAGAGCAGTAATTGAATTCCTTTGCCGGGCAGATATCCACCTCCGCCTGAAAGTTTTTTATGGTGACGCCTGCGTCGACACTCGTCTCTTCAGATGTGAAGCGACATAGTCAGACGATGTGACGAGACGAGTGATGAAGACGAGATTCACGTATCACACGCCTTGGTGCAGCTGGAATGGTTGCGTCAAAGGGAAAATCGTGTTCAATCCCCAGATTTATTGCCTAATTTTCATAATCAACATTTGTAACGAATAATTGCAACATGCAATTATACTTAGATTTTTTTTGCGCCTATGCCGTACCCACCCTCAATGTTCGATTCACTGCTCCACGTGGATGTCAGAAAGCTGGGCGTGAATAAAAATTTGGCAAATTAGTGAAATCGTTGCCTTTCTGTTAGACTAGCAAGCTTCGATCGAGGCTACGAAATATGTTCGACCCCGTGACGAATAAGAAATGGAGCCCGGTTAGGTGGAAGGGGAAGCTCTCCCATAGGCCGAGGATATGAATGTCTTACACACACGGACTCAATGCTAGAAGCACATAAAGTTGAGAGGCGGGGAGACACTATGCGACATCTATTAAAAATTTTCGCACTAGCTCAATTTTGAGGAAAATTAGGACCCCCAAATAGCATGTTAATGAATTGCGCTCACCAAAAAAAGATCATAGAACATCTTTTCTAAGTCTAAGAAGGGCTTGGCAGCCTCTCTTTTGTTGAAGTTTTTTCCGACCCTGGTTGGTGTCGCGGACTGTAAGTTTTAAAATCGGACGCGGCGGAGCGAATAACGAAAGAGAAAAACCTGGCCGGTATTACTAAAAAATTTTAAAAAGGGCTGCAAAATTTTTTAAATGCAGCATGTACGACACAAAAATTACTCTGAGCCGCCTTCTCCGGCTTTCATCGACCGGATTCGATAACCTCACGGACTTGCCGGTGGTTGCTAGGAGTTGGCAACTCGGGTTGGCGACTCTACGCAGCGACCTTCGAATCCAGTCAGAGACTTCGCAAAAAAAAGCAAAAACAAAAACAAAAAGAGATTTCCTAATTATCCTCTATGGGAATCGGACCGACCGAGATAATCCCATTCCCATTGACGTTCATTGTGAAATCATATCTGTAAAAATCGTCTGTGGACCATATGAACCGTATCTGATAAACAGATACGGCTCATATGACCCACAGACAGGCTCGGCTGAATGGGCCGAATGGAATAGGAATTGAAAGTCCGTCCTCCCTGCCCCAACATTTTTTTCCCAGACCACTTCCCAGGCAAGTCCAAGCGACCCCCTAACCCCCTCCACCCATCCTCCACCCATCCTCCATCCATCCTCCACCCCTGCCCACTCACGGGTCGAAGTTGAGCTCCAGGAGGCCAGGCCTCCCCTTGCACGGCACCAGCAGCGACCGCCTGAGGAGGCTCTCGGGGACGAAGTCGAGGCCCCGCACCCACGCGGCGAACATCTGCCCCGGGATCGCGTCCAGCGAGGTCTTCAGCTTCAGGTAATGCTCCTCGATCTCCGGGTTCCGGTGGATCTGCGGAGCAATGCGGGGAGAGCTCGGATGCGTTCTTTTTTTTTCAAGCTTTTTCTTTTGATGATGGTCGCTCCTATTCATTCATAATTTTTTTTTATCGTTTGAGTGCGTAATCTCGCCAACGTGCGTACTAAGCCTGCCTGAGAATTAATCGCTTCTCTGTTAAAAAAAAAAACCAATCCGACGGTGGAATGAATTCTGGATGTAGACGTCCTCACGTGACTATGGGTAGAATCATGGGATTTCCGAAAAACGTGGCTCTTCGGATAATATTAAAGGTTTTTCTCGTCAAGTTTCGCTAGGGTCCATTTTCATCAAAGTGTCAAGAATTAATATTTAGGAAATTAAAATTACTTATCCTTTCAGGTAACGCCAAGAAATTACAAATATAATTTTGGGGGAACTGCCCCTGAAATTTTGTCGATGAAATATTTCAGCTTCAACTCAATCTCCCTTTCTCATCACGAAAGACGACATGAAACCCCATCAGTAAAAATAAACATAGAAATGGACAAGGGTAAGATTCGCCTCAGTGACAGACCTCTTGGATCCAGCCAGCCCTCTTCACGGCGATCATGTCTTGCTGGACCCGGAGAGAGAGCCACCTCGTTCGGATGGCAGTCCTCGCGTACCGTTCCCCCCCGTCCCGCAGCCGCCGTAGCTCCTGCTCCACTGCTCGCAGCTCGCAGTCGAGGAGGTCCCACACCTGTCCCACAGCAATGTTGACCCCGACGTCCGAATTCGGTCGCAGACGTCCGGATTCGGTCGGTAGGTTTTTACCTTGTTGATGCCGTCTTTGATGACGGGTCGCAGGGCCTCGCGTTGTCCCAGGGCTCGGAAGATGTTGAAGGTGTCGATGGCCTCCGAGAGATTCGTGAAGGACTTTGACAGCTGCTGAATGAGTTCTCGCATCAGGTGCTCCACCTCTTTCAAGGAACCTCGAAACCTGGCCGTAATTCGAGGATGACAGGACTTTCTCGAGGAAACAGGTCATGCAAGAGGAGTTCAAGAAGTTCAACATTATTGGGGGCCTTCCAGGTTTTTTTTAATTTACATTTGTAATGGAGCTTTGGATAAGTATGTCTGGGAGAGAAAGGAATTAAGAATTTGCTTAACTAATTATTATGCCCTAATTAATCCAGCCGAATTATCTTAATATGGGGAAGCTGCTATTGTGCGATAACCGGTGTACATGCCGGTCGAATCCAATTTATTTTCAATTTCAAAATATTTTCAATTTAATCTCATGCCTTCCTGTCAGGATCTCGCAGGCCCTCACCTGGCCATGTCCTCGTGCCACGCCGTGTCCTGTATGTCCAGAGCATGGTGACTCCCCTCGCCCTCCCTGAGAGCGTCCAGGGCCTTCCGGAAGAGCTGCTCCACCTGGCCCAGCCCCTCCACCAGGACTCGGCTCTGGTGGGGCACCTCCACCTTCCCCAGCCTGCACACCCTGCAACGCAAATGTTAGACTATGCACGCCTCATTCTGTCGCTGTGCACATCTCTTAAACATTAAAAACGTCCCTAAAAACCGTCCAAAAATCCACCAATCTTAATACATTTCGGTGCTTCACCCTTTCTGGTTTTATTCTGAGACGCTTCATAAAGAGTACCGGTAGTACAAAAGTACCGATTCGATTCGGGTACATGACCTTTCAATTGACTCGTCTATAGACGGTCAATTGAAACGTCAATTGAAGTGGCACGCGCTATAGCACGTGCCTCTTCTCAAGTACTAAGTACTGAGTACCGGAAGCACTGAAACGCACTTTCAGCGATGTACCAGAATAACTCGAACTAATGAGGCACGTTTTGACACAGGGCTTCAAAGACGTAAAGCGCCAGCAGATTGACAAATGACTAAGCTAGTGACTTATACTAAAAAAAAAATAAAAATAAAATAAGTTTGATTTTTTTAAAGAGAAAATACATAAGGCATAGAACAGGGCACGTAGTAACTGAGGCACTGAGGTAACTTTCTCTTTGAAGTCTCAGCAACGCCCACTTAAATCCACTGATAGTTTAAAAAAAAAAAATAACCACAAGGACAACAAAGAAAAAGAAATTAAAAAAATTATATACGTAAATATATAAAAGGGACAGACCGAAGAAAGTGTTGCTGGGCATCCGTGATCTCCTGGAGGTCGTTGAGCCGGGCGACGAAGGTGTCCACGTGGACGAACACGGACTCGGTGTCCCATTCCCAGTACTCCAGGGACTTTTCTGCTCCGAGGTCGGATGCCTGTTCATTGGGGGTTGAGGCAGATTAATCTGGGTTAATCGCGATTAATTCTGATAGGAGTGGGGTTCGTCCCTTGTTGGAATTAACCGCTATTAACCTGACTTAATCGGGATTAGCTTAGCTCTACTGGGATTAATTTGGATCATTCGGGATTTATTTGGTCCAATCCTGATTAACTTGGATCAATCCAGATTAATGTGAATTGTTATGGATCGATTAGGATGAATCTGGAGAGTGCAAGGGAAACAGGTAGGAAAAAAAAAACTGAAATCAAATTCCGTTACGCAAATGCTAAATCTCTTGCTCAATCGATTTGGTTGGATGAGCTGAGTCACGAAACGGCAGAGGAATCTTCAAATCAAATCTCTATCACTTCGAAACGCATCCAGATAAAACCCCGTTAGAGTGATGAAAGGCGGATCGGGGTCGGGGCTCAGCCTTCATTGAAAATGCATCATGGTTGCCACATTGTTGCCGTGATTGCGAAACCCCTCTTCCCCCCAACACCGCTCGAAAGACGCGGGGAAAAAATTCGAAATACGACTCGGGAAGATCCAGATGAACTCCACCCAACCGCTCCTTATAACCGCTCCCTAACCGCTGCACCCACCTGCTTGTAGATGGCCTTCCACTCGGAGCAGCAGAACTTGCACTCGGAGATGCGCTGCGAGGAGCGGTCCGTGTCCTCCCCGCTCAGGATCTCGTCCAGGTGGAGGAACTGCTGGCACGCGCCGAGGATGTCGTTCGTTAGTCTCTGCAGCAGTCCGATTATGTACAACCTTAAGAATAAAAGACGAATATTATAAAAAATATTTAAAAACATCGGGATTGTATCATAAAAGAATCGAAATATTGAAGAACTGTCAAAACCATATAAACTACTCAAAGTACTTCAGAACTAAGTTCTACTAATTTTTCGATGATGGAAAGCGCGAAGGAATACTTGGTATTGTAATTGGGCGAATGGATCCAGATGGCCCGGACGAATCCGAGAAGGGACGGGAGCTGGGTGGGGATCTCGATCGGGCGACTCCGGGCCAGCAGCTCGCAGGGCTTCCGCAGGACGGACAGGTACTTCACGTTCGACTCGCACCGCCGCTTCTCCTTCTGCGGGGGAGGTTGCGGTTGAGGTGGATGCGGGGGAGGGGGGGGTGGAGGGTATATAAAGGGGAGACCTGGAGGGAGGTGGTCAGTTTGAGGAATTGCTTGGCGTGGGTGGAGTGGGCGGCTCGGAGGATTTCGATGACGTGCTGGGCTTTGGGGGAGTTGGCGTGTTGGGTCATCGCCTCGAGCTGCTCACCTGTTGGTCGCAACGCTCTTAAGATCGAGAATATTTGGAAAAAAGTTCGCTGTTGGCACAAGGAGGTGTTTCCTAGGGTTGACGATGAGGCTTGAAAGCTGAAACCTCCTTTAGTTGACGGTCCTTTTTAAGAAGAAATGGACTTCTATGGGGGGGAAAGAGGTCATTAACATGAAGGCCCATTTATATCGCCTTAATGAAGTTTCAGCATTCAGGTCTAAATCTCCAAACTCCAAATGGAAGGAATTATTTTCAGGAATCGATCGATGAAAAATAGAAAAAAGACGAACAGAGCTTTCTCCAGACGCTGATTTCGGCCAGGGGTCCCCCGGAATCCAGCTTCACGGTAGGGGTGCGTCTCTTCCAGGCGGCCATCTGCCGCATCTGCCCCACCCACTGCATCACCACCCCTGCCAAAAATGCTTTTTTTTTTCGTTTTCCTTTTATTTTTTTAAGGGTATGGGTGACACGACGAACATTGGAGGGGTGCTTCAGCTATTCGAGAATGGGGCCAGACGCTTTATTCTTAGCTATGCTAATGGCTCAGAATGGCCACATGGCTCGGGTCGGCCACATGGGTTACCTTGCCAAAATTAGGAATTCAGTCATACTACAAAAAACCCGGGTTTTCTCTTGTCTTCCTCAATGACAACAGTCAAAAGCAGTGGAAACCTAGATGGGGCCGAAATAATGCACTATCTACTGTGGCACGGAGCCATTCTTTCAAGAATTTGCATCGTTTTGGGAAGTTATAACTTCCCGAAACGCCGTGCCATTTTTAGAATTCCTGAGATCATCGAACATCGGAAGCAAAAAAAAAGTTATTGTCAGTGCCAGCGTAGGCGGCTATTTATGGGGGCTCGAGGGGCTCCAGCCCCTTTAATAAAATTTCTCAAAGAATGTTAATGACATGAATTGATGAATTCATCACTGGGAAGGCGAAACGCTTTTGTCATATTTTATAAGTGCATCAATAGAGAATAGCTGAATAAGCGAAGAGAGTAGCACTAACGGGTTTATATAACAGAATATGCAATCAACGATCATCAGTCAGAAGAATGACAACACTCTTTTTTTTTAAGCCTGGGGGAACGATCCTTACGGCCTTTGATTAGCAGAGAAACAATCTGAGTTTTAAAAAAAAATCGTCGCTCATGAATGCTGATTTTATCCTTCACTCAAATCGATGGGCGGAGTCGAGAGTGCATGATTTAAATTGCAATCATTCAGAGGTACTTGGTTTGGGACTCGCATTTGCTCGATCTTAGAATTCTACACTTATCCTTCGAAATTCCTCACTGTAAATATGAACCGACCTTCCACGATCTCCATCGTGGCTTGGTCCCTCGCGTCCTCCGTGGTGAGCTTGGAGAAGTCCTCGGGGATGTAGAGGGAAGGCGTCGCGCCGTGCATGCTCCTCCAGCCGTAGAGGAAGGCGAGGAACTTCTCCGTCTCCGTGGACAGGTCGGATGCCACGTCTGTAGGGTGGGAGTGGGGGAGGGGGTGGGATGGGGTGGGGGTGGGGGAGATGAAATGGGTCCTGAATGAGTGATTTTCATGGCAAACAATCGGCTAAGCGATGAGGGACCTTGACAATACCGCATTATTTATTTTAAATAATATACCTGTATTTGAGGTTAATCTTATCTTAGTTGTTGAGAGATACGCGGTGATGATTCATTAACAAGAGCATCCTCGTACCTTCTGGCAACGCCCTGCTGTCGCGAATGATGGAGCAGTGATAGTGGCGGATGAAGTCGATCAGAGACTCCATGACGTCGCCTCCGATCGTCCCATACGCGACGGACGTATGGAAGTTCTCCATCGTCGTCGCCCCATCCCCCACCTTCAACAGGTAGATTCCCCTCAGTCGCTTCCCCCTCGCTTGGGGGGGCGTGCGAGGGGGCGTGTGGGGGGGCTCGTCCGCCACGACGGCCTTGCCCCTCTCGACCGAGAGGAGGATGCAGGTGTGGCTCGGCGCGGCGAAAAACGTCGTCAGCTTCTTGCGGGTCTCGTCTGAAGCGGGATCCTCGTCCAGTCGAGAACCGGTCACGGCCGACAGGATCCCCATGACCTGTAAGCAGTGTTGGGCGGTAACGAAGTAAAAGTAACGCGTTACAGTAACTAATTACTTTTTTCAATAACTTTTTTGGTAATGAGTTACTTTTCAGGGAAAGGTAACGGAACTGGTAACTGCCCAGCAAACAAATGAACATTCAATTATCGTTGTATGAACGTTAATTTTGAACCTTCCCACCGTGGTGTTGGCGCAGCATTAAGTCAGTATTTCGATGTCGCTTATCGCAATATTCTGATGAATGTTGAAGTTCAACATTGGCTGAACGTTGGGCCAACATTGCAATGTCGCTTATTGGAACGCTCACCCCCACCCCAGAACTCGGTCGGTTACGACGTGCCCAATGTTGGTCCAGCATTGAGACAATATCTAGTACTACTGGCGTGGGGTGCAGGTCGAAGTTCAAGATTGGTTGAACATTCCCCGGTAAGCACAGACATGTTCCATATCAGAGCTTCTTCTGAACAGCGATTCAACGATTTATGGCGCTTTGCAGTTTTCATCTGACGACACGTTCCTAGAATCCCTGAAAATTTCCATCAACGTTGGTCGGTAACGCTGGATAGGTTCTCGGTCGTTTCTAGAGAAAAAAAAAATTCATTCCTTATTTGACGATGAAAACGATTTGACGATGACGATGATTTGACTCGAAATACGCATGATAGGGAGCAGGCTGGGGGAGGTCTTCCCATCCACCAATAGCTAAATTGAACTTTTTTTTTTCAAAACTAAAGGGTGAATTCTGACTATCAGCATATAATTCCTGTTAAGTAGCCCATGGGAAGGGAAGAGGCACGGGGAAAAGAGTGAGCATGAGTATTTATCCAGTTCAGTGATGATCATAATTCAATTTTCATGAAATCTGTAACTTTCGCTTTCGGTGCAAGAATCCAGCTTCTGTCAAGGAGGTGGAGAAGCTGTAGAAAGATCAGAATTTTTGTTTAGGAAAAGTAACTTCTACTTGTAACTAGTTATTTTTCGCAAGTAACGCGCGAGGCAAGCCAATATTAAAAGTTTATTCCATTCCAAAATGATTTTTGGGCTAGTACGAATTGCAGTGCCACCTTGAATGGAACTTAAATGGAATGTTGAATGGAACTCACGATTGAAACGAGGTCTTGAGGATGGAAGTGTTCTTGAATTGTCGAGATTTCCTCTCGACCGCTGGATGAGGAAGAATCATCTCCCACGGTGTCGTCTTCTGCTGCTGATTCCATCACATTCAAGATGATGTCATCATGCACATCACAGATGGAGACAACGAGCGGTATTAAACCGGTTCAGCAGAAGCCTTTGAAGAAAATGCAGGGTGGATAGGACGCACACACGAGGGAGCGAAACCGAGTTTGATCAATACGAACGAGTCAAGCGAAATCCTCTGGGCTGGGGGCCAATATGTATAAATATATTACCTGACATACACCTATCCATACACACATGTATACATGCATGAAATGGTGGAAATTGCAGGGCAACAGGAAAACAACGCGTGACAAACACGTGGGGACTCATGTCAGAGAGAAGCGTCAGATGAACAGGGTTGCCAAACCAATATTATGGTCCTCGCACGAAAGAAAAATGCCCCATACGAATAAGCAAAAAATGCATGACGAAAAGATCATTTATTAACTATATACACATACAAGGAAGGCCTCTATCACTTTTAAGGGGTGAAATCTGGAAAAAGTTAATGTTTACTTCCAGTTGGATTAATAACGCTGGCCACAGCTCACTGAAGACACATGGCGCAACGCAGCTACACCTTGTAGAGTATGAATTGCACGCGATGTCAGGTACGAACTGATCACCATAACGAATTGACATTAGCATAACCTGCTATAGCGGTTTTTATTTTGATTTGTGCCACTTTTCATAAGGATTCTATGAATTTTTGGAAGACGTCCATTGACCAATGTGGAAGGTGGTATGAATGGAAATAAGTGTCCCCTGCTCTGGCTTCTTCTAACGGTAGGCATGCTTTTGATGTTAGCCTTTTGTGATATCAAAAATATGAATTAAGTCTACCCTCTGAATTATTTTAAGTGTCTTCTAGGTTCATGAATAAATGCTTTCTGGTGGTTATAACTGTCATCTTGAGATTGGCCCTTGATAGGCCCTCTCAAGTTTCATAACTAGCTCAGCAAGGCCTACATGCAACACAAGGCCATGACATAACAGGCCTAATGTGTAAGTCATCCATTTGGGGCTAGTAGACAGCTTTTTAAAAATAGTATTCATGCATATGTTTGTCTTAGTTAACATTATAATGTCTTGAAAGGGTTCAAATAGATTTTGATGGAGACATCTTCAAGTATGAAAGGGGTTTTCCAGTTGAGGTCTTCAGTATGAGATGAGATCCTGAGGTTGCTGTATGACAAGACAATACCTTTTTGTGAACTTAATAGAGCATCATTCTGCTGATGGTTATCTGGACTATATGGTTATGTAATCCTTGCATTGAGTCTTATCCAATAGGGGATGGTGAAATGTATTTCCCATGTTATCGCCACCTTTGAAAATTTAATAAATCCCAGTCAGACCCACTTCATTTTCCAGTAGTATTCAACACCTCTTTGCTTGTGTCCAATGAGTTAGATGGCAAAGATATTGTAAGAAGATAATGAGAAGGTGGAGCTGTACTGAGCATGTCAGAGTATATGAGAAAGCATAACACTCAAACTGAATAGACTGTAGTAGACTAAATTTTTTATTGTAAATATCAAACTGTAATACTTATGAGTTTTCAGCTAACTGAGTATCATAAGAGAGTTTCATCAGTCTTTATCTTTTCTTATCAAGGGAATGTAAAGAAACACAGTCCTCATGACTTGTAGTGTGTACTTGAGACCTTAGCCTAATGCTCGGTGTGACAGAGCTTAATACTTGGCCTCCCCTTAATTAGGTCTATAATGATGTAGGAATGTTGGAACAATGCAAAACATAAAGCCTAGTGTAGTTCCCATATGGTTTGCCTCATGCTGGCAGTTTCATGGGCATGATCATGGAAAAATTGCCTGATTTTTTTCATTACAGCCTTTATTATTAAAGAGATTTTGCATTGATGCAAAGTAGAAAGAGCAGAGATTGTATCTCTTTCAGATTTTGGAGCAGTAGTAAAATAAATTGAAAGGTAGAACAGTTTTTAAAGTGTACATATTAGAGAAAAAATGGTGGAAGAGTTACATTTTAAATGGGTGCCCATCTCCCCCTGAGAAAGAGACCTGAACTAGAGTTGAAATCTGAATTTTCAGTCTGTAGTAGCCATGACAGAAGGTAAGGGATTCTTGAGTTTGTTAATGGGATGCAAAACATGGGTGTAATCTGAACTGAAGTTGAGGTACCAGTGTGCCAAGTGGAAAGTTGAAGGTTCTGTATGACCACCATAATTCAGGACTCTGAAGGCATTCCATGAGTGAAAGAAATTAATATGATTGCTGGCAAGGTGATTTGCTTCATGGCATTATTCCAGTGAATACTAATCTATGCAGAAGTTCCATGAAATATGACTACTTGAAGGACCACCTGTGACTTACTGGTGCTTGCAAGATTATGCTTTGAAAAGACCTCATAAGAAAATAACCTGAGCTACTGGTAGTGAGTCCTATTCTCTTGCATGACAATGCAGTCTTACATAGGAAATTCTTCTACAGGGTGGGCCAAAAAAATATTAGGTTATCTTTAACGCTTCACAGCATAGTTTCTCTAGAGTTTGAAAATATTGCAATAGCATCTCTATATAGAACATTTATCTAGTGTTCCACTGATCTCAAAAGATTTGAGATCTGATCTGTCATTCTGATGCAGTTACTTGCAGTGTAACAGGTAGCACTTGAAAATTGCACTTAACAGTACCCTACAAGATGTACTCCAGGTGATGCCCATTCCTTTGCTATGGTGAGTAGGTGACCTCTGCCATGAATCTTTAATATGTTGACATAATTGGAAAGCTGAGTGAATATTTTATATGGAGGTGCTATTGCAATTTTAGCAAACTTTTGGGGACCAATGCTGTGGAGTGATGAAGATAACCAAAGTTGTTTTTGCCCACCCTGTACATCTGCCTCATTTATGAGATCTGAGTCTCAGTGACCTTCACCTTTTTTGCATATGTGAGAGAACTACTTCAGAGCCAATGTCTCAAGCCGGAGGCTGAGAACAGCTGTGTGTGTGAATGTCCAAGTCCAGAATGGGATAGGAATGGGAGATGGCATATTGTGAAGAGTTGGGAAAAGTACATGGACCTTAATGGTCTGAGTGTGGATTAAAGAGGCATTGTTCTAGGCCCATCACATATTTATATGTCTGTTTCATTCATATCTCTGTGTTACTGTACAGACTGGAATGCAATCTAATTTGAGAGGTATGGTGGGAAAACTTGATGAATCTGGCAAAGTTCCAAGTAATTGTTCTACTCAGAGGTAGAAAAAGTTCTTCTGCTTCCTGGTAACCATGGTTTACCTTTACAGTTTAGCAGGTGTGTGAAATGACCCTATGTTTGGGGGGCTGAGCAGAGGCAAAAAGGTAGGGAGTGTTAGGTAAAAGATCAGTTTTAGGCTATAACTAGACATGAAAATGCCTATATGCAGACCCCTAGCAGGATCTAATGGGGATAGCACGGAGGGGCATAGCCCCTTAGAAGTTTTTCTCCTGCTTTAATTAAATGTGGCTTTTTCTGGCATTTTAATCCATTTATTTCACCATAGTCAAATTTTGTTATGCCAACTTTAAAAAAAAAAATCTTCAAAACTACTGAGCAGAAATTCACAAGTAGTTTAGAGGTGTCTTGCAGTCTGAAAGTATGGTTATGTTCTACCATGCTAAGTGCAGGAGAAATATCAATTTAAAGGGTCTTAAAAAGTTTTTCTGCAGATGAGCACTTCAACTGATATTTTCATTTCTGGACTGGAATATTGATTTTGTTGAATTCATACTTGAAACCTCCCCTTCTTTCTATTCAGTTGGTGAACAACCTCTGGAATGGCATGTAACTTCAACATGTATGCTTGCTGCATTCTTCACAAGAAATGCGCAATGGAGATGGAGTGCTTCAACTTGGAGGAACTTAATTGAACCCTTAAATCCTTTGGCTTAATTAGGGCACTTCGTTGCTAGACACTAACAGGTATTCTCTCAGTGACAGGATGCATGGTGTTGACAGGACACACGTACTGCTAGGTATGTGAGGTGCAGGATGAGATTGGACAGTGCTCTGATGGGGAATGGAGATTAATGTATTCCCTCAACCTAATTAGGTCACTTGAAAAGAGATGCAAAGGGAACAGGAAATCTGTCATCTAATTAGGTCACTTGAAAAGAGATGCAAAGGGAACAGGCAATCTGTCAGTGGAAAGCCAGGTAACCTGAGGTTGGGCCAACTGATTGATTAAAGAGCAAAGGAAGAGGTTTCTGAGGAGCAAGACACTGCCTAATTCTAATTCAGTTGTGAGTATCTCTCACCTTGTGAAATATCCAATCAAAATCATAATCCAATAATAAGCCCAAGACAAGGCTGCCTTTGCATTGCGGTCAGGCAAGTTTGACCAGTGTCCCCAATTTCACCTTCTATCCTTGTTGGGGTGAGATCCTATGACCCCAGGATCAAGGGAATTTGCAATACCAAGATCTTTTGGCCTCTATGCACTCAGCATGGGAGACAAAATCCATCTGAACTTAACACCAGTCACTTGGAGATATCTTCCCCATTCCACTCAGAGGCTTCATCTTCCTGGTGCCTCTATCTTTTCACATGCAGTCATCATTTACCATTTTTCACTCCATTACCATCTCTTGTCTTCCTGATCGTTCTTTTTTTTTGCATTATTTTATTATTTCCCTCATGCTTTTTTTCTCTGTTATTTATTTCTTATCACTGCTTTGTCTTCCTAATCAGTTGCTATCCTTCCCAGTAACCTGGTTACCAGATTACAGAACTTTTTCCACCCCTGGTTCTACTCAAATCAGAATATTTATGAATAATATCATGAGCTGAATGGTGATTGCTTTCATGGATGTTAGATCCTCCCATAGAAAGTTATGATGTTTTGAAATCTACTTGTTCATGTATGACTGTACTGGAACACGTGTCCCATACTATGAGGATATTCGTCTAACTGTGCAAATGACCCATGAAAGGGGTAATGTCTGACAATATCAACTGGGTGATTCAAACATTAGTTGCCACTACCCCTTACATTTATAGCATGTGAACCATTTTCCC